AACAAAGACTGATCAATCAGGCCAGTATATAAGTATTTATATATATATATATATATATATATATTGTTAAACAAGACCGATGTCTGTAGGTTTACTTTTTTCTTAGAATTCTTCTCAAGAAGTCGATAAGCCGTCTTAACGTTGTTAGAACAACGGGTAAAAGTTGTAGATACTGATGAGTTGGCCGACGCGTTTTGAATGCGTTCTGCATCCATTATCAAGGCTGAATGTTGTGTGAATTGTGATTACTGTTGGTGGATATTTATAGGTATGGGTAAGCAGGTGCTGGTATCTAGCTCGTGGTAGGCGTTAATTGGTGGAGTGTTGTATTGTGGCTTGGGGGTTTCTCGCCAAGAAGTAGCAGTGTGCGTGCTGTTCCTGTCTTGTTTGTTTTGAATTTCTTGCAAAGCTACGTGAGGGCTAATTCAGCAGTGAAAGACTAGAGGGAAGGCAACTAGTCATCACCACCCACTGCCAACTCTTGGGCTACTCTTTTACCAACGAATAATGGGATTGACCATCACCTTATAATGCCCCCACAGCTGAAAAGGTGAGCATGTTTGGTGGGACCCTCAGATTGCAAATCAAGTGTCCTAACCACTTGGCCATAACAGGCCTCTATAAAAGAAGTTAAGTGATTTACATTGGCCTAGATAATGCTTGTAAATAAAAGTGTTCAAAACGTAAAAGGACAAAAACAAGACGAACTTAGCTTACATTAATCAGCTGCTAACTTGTAAACATTCTGGGTAAATCTTGGGTACACGAAACTTTTAGACTTATTAGATTATTGAGGTGGTCTTTCGACTCCCTTGGGCTATGTCCCTAAAATATACAAAGAACTTTTCCGCAATAAGTCTTAAAATAAACAAATTGGTTCTCTTCATTACCTGACATTTCAATCTACCAACCATTTTATGAACGTAGATTTTGTGAATATTAAAATCATTTTAAGGCTAAAGCAAGTCGAAAGAAGTCAAAGGAACTGTCAATTCTCTTCATCCCCACGACTAATTTGATATTGGCAGCATTAACAATCTATGACCTGTTATACACGTTTTCTTAATGTAAAAAGTATTTTCATTTATATAAAATGTATCTCAAATCTCTTCCACAATACTTATGAGGTATTACTAACTTTCATAGCTTACTATCTTTTAGTTAGATATCTATTTATTGTTGTTATATTTTTCATACATATATTGTAGCTGATTCTAATACCCAGGTTGTCATTGTGAAAGACACTAAAGATTAGAAAACACAACTTAAAAATCAAGCAGAAATCCAAAAAGCTCAGATGACTAGGTAGTAAGTTTCTACACTAGATTATAATTTGGGTTAGTGATTGCTATGTCAGCAAACCTATTGGATGTGAATCTATAGATCCGATACCCCAAGACTTTGTTGTGGGAGGAAAACCGGAGTCCCCCAAGAAAAACCCATTTTAACAACCTAGACACTGAATAATCTATATTAATAGTACCTGAGCTGTGAGGCTGAAACGAGAAAGAATATCATATATGGTTATCATACTATACACCTGGAAAAAAGTTAAGCACCCCCGTGTTTTTTTCAAGTGATTCAGATTCGACGTTCTAGTGATTGATTAT